TGTGTGTGTGTATGTGTGTGTGTGTGTGTCTGTTTATGTGCATATGTGCATATGTGTGAGTGAACGTGCGTGTTTGTGTTTGCATGTGTGTTTTTGTGTATGTACCTTGGTCTACGTGGGTGAGTGTATGTATTTTGTTTGTGCTCGCCCTTTCATTCGTTTATAACAAAATGGCTACTAGTGTCTGTGTATTTTCTATCAGAAGTGTCTTTGTATAAGTGTGAGTCTGTGTCTGTGTTTTAGTAAATGAAAGTCTACGGGTATATGAATATGTATGTGTGTATGCAAATGTGTACGTTTGTACGGGTGCGAGTATAGTGCAAGCCCACGTATGTTTAATTGCTGAATGTGAAAGAAAAAGCCAAAGAAACCAACAAACAAACGCATTCTACGTGAAATAAAAATACAATAACGTTCGAATGAAACCCAAGTAAAGAACCAAAAACCTAGAAGAAGTGGGTGCTTGGCGGGTGCTCTGGTGTGGTTTGCTTCTTTTTTCCTATCAAACATCTATCTTCCTTATATCCCGTCCTTCTATTTTATGTTTGTTACTCTCTTGTAACACCTCTAATCTTCTGGCGCCCATATGATCTTAATGCAGTTGCGAGAGCCGTAAAACCTCTACTAACTCAAACAAAAAAGCCAAGAAAACTACTCTTCTCTTCCTCTCTACAATAATCCAGCACCGCCGACCCACGAGGAGATTCTGATGTCTACACCATCCATTGATATAAACCACTTCTCTCTATTCACAATACCTCTCTCGCTGCTACTGCAAGTTGTTACGCTGCGCATCGTTGCCAAGTTGGATGGCGGGAGAGCCTGTACAGTAGTTGCTATGTCGCTGCCAGTGCGTGCGGTTTTATCAAGTGTACCTCAGTTTCAATCGATAAATTCAAAGCGCTTTCCCTTCACAGAGTGAGTGCTCTCCAACGTAGACCAAAGCGGCGAAATGGAAGGCTATTGCTATTGCCGCTGCTCTTGTGGTTGGAATGTTTACAATTTGTGAATGGATATTGTTGTGGGCATTGCGTGTTGTGTTGGAAATGGACAGGAGTGCTGCTATGTGCTAGCCCAGTGTGTGATTATTTCCTTCTTCGAGGTGAGAATTTGGCAGATCCTGTTCTCTCCGTTGGTTTAGTGGGTGTGAAAATGTGAGGGTGGTGATGTTTAGAGTGCTGTCTATGTTAAGTGCAAAGCTGTTCTGTTAAATATTAATTCTGAGTACTCAGTTTCGTTTTAAAAATAACTTGTTTGGTTTTGTTTGGGTTTTTTTGATGCATTATTTCCAAAGTAATTTGTATATGTTATCTATTTGGTTTTTACTGAGTTATCGATACTTATTCTTTTTATTCATTTTAAAATTGATTTCCTTCGCCATGTGATTGGTATAAACATGGGGGGGGGGGGAGTGGGAACAAACAATAATCTTAACATTAAAGCAAAATAAAAGGTAAACAAGCCGACGTTCTGTCCGAATGAGAATTGGACAGGGTGTAACATCATAACGTCATGAGAAATATAATAATATAATATACTTAACATATACTTAAAATGTATAAAATATTACTTAACAGCTTCAACATGAGATCTTGAAATGGAATGGCCTAAAGAAAACAGTATTAATAGTTATTGGAGTGATCATGCGTTTTTAAAAATAGATAGCATTTGTATATTGCAAATCCCCACTCAATAGCAAGCTCTATGCGCGTCACAATCTATACTATTACCCCAGCAGACCTGAGAGCATTCTGAAAGAACCTCAACTTCCTGCGAAGCATACAGTGCAAGCAGCCATTTATAGGCTCTAAAACACTAACATACTGACGAGATCTTTCACTGTCTTTTTTTCCGTATTTTCACTGACCCAACAGGAGAGGGGGGGGGGGGAGAACGTGTGATGGTGAAGAGCATCTTTGACTCTCAAATGATGACCGGAAAGTACAAAAAGAACTAATTATGTTTAGAAGAGTGGAGAGAGAAAGAGGGGTCGACTTTTTATAAGACACATATCTATTTACAAAGCCTAAACATGGATCAACTTTAGAACTTGGGACCAGGAGATAGCCAGTAAAGAAGGGGGGATTATTATTATTATTATTATTATTATTATTATTATTGTTATTATTATTATTGTTGTTATTATTATTATTATTAATTTTTCTTTTAACATTTTTATTTATTTATCAATTAATTAATTAATTAATTTTATTTTATTTCATCTTATTTCTTTTTAAAAATTTATTTATGTATTTATTTATTATTATTATTTTTTAAAATTATTTATTTATTTATTTGTTATTTATTTGTTTTTATTATATTTTTTTTTTTTTGGGGGGGAGGGGTTTCAAGACCGGTCTCAAGATTAAAGAGAAAGAGAGGTAATTGATACATGAGTGTACACGCATGTGAACTCTCAAAATGACGCCGTAGAATACAAAATAATACATAATATATTTCCAAATACTCACGGAAACTGACATTTTTGGGCCACGGATTAACTTGATAAACTCTCAACGGAAACCATTATCACGGGACGCTAATTGTAAACACATATTGTATAAACACGATCCTCTGTTGACGTGGATCTTTTTATTTATTTATATATTTATTTATATTGTTATATTTATATAATATATTAACATTTATATATTTTTATATGTATATATTTATGCATTTATGTACTTTTGTATTTTTTTGTATTTTTATTTATTTATTTATTTATGTACTTATTTATTTATTATTTTAGTTTATTTTATTTTTTTATTTATCAGTTTTTATATCTCTTTTTTCTTTTTGTAATGTGCGTGACAGGAGACAGAGGGTGGAATATAGCATTAATTCCTTGGCTTGTCCCCATCTCATTTCAGGAGAAGTATTTTTCTCCTTCCGAAATTTTTTTTAGGCAAGAATTTTTCTTCCGTGTAACGAGTTTTTTTCTGCTGCACCGTATGACCACCCGCCTTTTGGATGCGCTTCACAGGAAACTGTATAATATGGCAGAGGAAATAATCGATAAAACCTCTGTATGTTTAAAGGGAACAGGAAAAAGAAAAACATGTAAATAAATGAGAACTTCAACCTTCGTCGGAAAAGCGACGAGACATGCGTACATTTTAAAATAAAAGAGGCTGTGTAGATAAATAGTTTTTAATTTTTAATTTAAAAAAACAAAAACATTTCAGATTTTCTAAATTTTGTTTTTCCAAGTTATTCATTGCTGCTTACTACAAACAGTTTATTATTTATTATACTGGTCTCTGTGGTCTAGCAGTTACATGCTTCGCCGTCGCACGTAGGACACCTGAGTTCGATTCCAGAGTTGAGAAACGTTTCTTTTTTGTTGTATGTATGGGGTAAGGTGGGTTGAGAGGAGTGGGATTGGTATCCGAGAGAAAAAAAAGAATGTTATAAGACTTATCTGGGATTCGATTTCCGAACTTGGACGCTTTGAATAAGCCCGTTAACCAACTGCAGAGTACTCTCCGAAGCATAATGAAGTATTCATTTTGATCAAGCTGGATTACCGTTCTTCTCCATTTACGTGCAAAATAGTATTATTCCCCTCCTTCATAGAATCACTCTTAGCCCTGGTTGGTCCCGACAGGCAGGTTCGGAGGTCAACTTCTAAAGAACCAAAATTATGTCGATAGGGGCGTAACACAATCTACACAAAAAGAAACGTTTACGGCAATTCTAAGATGGAGCACCTGGCCCATTGTTCGTTTTTTGTTGTTGTTTTAGTAGAGGTTTTACGGCGCTCGCAACTGCATAAGATATGAGTGCCAAGGGGTGGATGCCAACAGAGAAGTCCTTACAGGAAATCAGACTCACTCTGCTCACCTCTCTAGATTCAACAGCACAAAGTCTGCTTCGACTATCAAGGCGCCTCAGAAATAGCAAGTCACAAGACTGTGACAAACACAAAATAAAGAAGTAAAGGAAAAATGACAATAGTAAGGATTAGGACAGAAAGAGCAGCAGCTCACTGTTGAAGTTCAGGCACAGTTATGAGCGTGACTTTGATGAATCAGCCCATTTACAATTACAATTCTACTGTGCATAAGAACATGGTTAATGCCCCCCCCCCCACTTTGGGAATTACCTAAAGACACATCAGGCAGTAGCACCTCCTCGGGGGGTTGCCCATTGTTCGATGACCAGGAGAGATGACCTTTGACCCAGTGACCCTCACAAGCAGGGTCAAGGCAGTCCTTCTCCTGAATTTCCCAAGTTGTGTCAACAGGGGCGTGAAACATTAACATTATTTTTAATCATTTTTCTGAGTAAGTGATTTACGGCGCTCGCAATTGCATAAGGTCATGAGCGCACAGGACACACCAAACAGTTCCAGTTGGTAGGACTTTTGGAATTTTGCTCAGGTGGCGGTTGAAGACTACTCTTATCGATTTTGGACCACCAATGGATCTTTGAGGTGCGCTATTTGCACATGGGACCTCCGAGATTTTTCACCCTTGTCCGAAAAGACTAGGTATAGATCTTACTTACTATAAGATCAGGGGTGTGACTGAAACAGCAGTAAGAATGAGCCAAGGAGTAGCAGTAGAAAGGCTGCAGAAAGAGACGGGAGCTGAGAGGACTGGGCAAAGGAGGTGAGAGGGTGGGGCAGAAAGTGGAGACGAAAGCAGACAACAGAACATTATTAGAGAGCAGGACAGGATTAAAAAGGAGACAATTTTAGAGAAGAAAATGCTACGTCGATATCCGGATTTGAACCCGGGACCTATTAAATGAGAGTCCAACACCTTAACCCCTAGGCCATGAAAGCTCCCTTTGAAATTAGGGGTTGGAGCATGTTCGTGTGTGTGTGTGTGTGTGTGTGTGTGTGTGTGTGTGTGTGTGTGTGTGTGAGGGGGGGGGAAGTTGAGAGGAGTGGGGGCGGTATCCGAGGAAACAAAGGAGTGTTATATTACTTATCTTGGATTCGATCTCCGAACTTCGACGCATTGAATAAACCCCTTAACCAACTGCGGAGTACTCCCCGAAGCAAAATGAAGCATATTTTGATCACGCTGAATTACCGTTCTTCTCCATTTACGTGCATAATAGTATTATTTCCATCCTTAATAATATCAGATGACAACTATTCTTTCCGTCTGGCGTTCCGTCTATTTCTAAATATTACATGCCGCATACTCTTTCTCCGCACAATGGACTTATTTCAAAGAGTCTGGCGTACTCAAACATGAACACAATTTCCTCCCCACTCTCCAGAGATTTTTGCCTCTGAGTGAAAAAACGAAAAGGATAGTGAGTGACTGTTCATGACTCGTTCGTTTTTGTTGGGTTTTTTTCGAGCACGTACATTCAACGGTCGGTGAGATCGATAGAACTGTTTTAATCACTATTTTTGTTTGTTGTTTATTATGCACAGTAGTTGACGGGCAGTATTGTGACTTTCCTGGAATGATATCCGGAGAAACAAAGTTCGATTGTTTTATTGGGTTTTTACTTTTTGTTTTGTTTGTTCTGTATTCATTCGGGTTTCTTGTTTGGTTTTGTTTTGGTGTTTTTTTCGTTGTTGTTTTTTGTTAGTTTATTTTTTGAGCTATTTTTCATTTTACAGACACGTGGAGACCGACGATTGCGGCTTAAAGGAATACAAACTTAATCTTCCTTGTACAAATGTGATAATCAAATTCACTTTCCGTTTTCATTATATACCTTATACTTTCCCTCCGTTCGGTTACCAGAGGGATTTGGGGAGAGGGGCGGAGGGAGGGGTCTAGCCTTTCTTCATCTTAATCACATACGCTAAGGCTTCTAACGTGTTTCATTGTTTAGCCCACGACATCAGATACTAATAATAATATATAAGAGATAGCATTAGCATAGCGCAAATCCACTCTCAACAGCAAGCTCTATGCGCTTCACAATCTATACTATTACCACAGCAGACATGAGAGCATTCTCAACTTCCTGGGACGGATACAGTGCGAGCAGCCATTTATAGGCGCTAAAACACTTACATACTGACAAGATGCGAAAACAGTGACCAAATATAAAATAACAAAAAAGCCCCCAAAACCACATTAAACAATAACTGCATCAGAACCAATGGAATAAACAAATACAATAGAA